GTTTAATTCTTTTGAATTTTTAATGTTTTTTTAATTAAAGTGTTTCTATGTATTTTGTATTTTTATATTTAATCCTAAATTAAACAGTTTTTGATCATTTAACAGATTTTATTAATATTTTTTTATTTCTATATTATATATTGTAACATGAACTTTTTTTATGTTTACATTTTATTTTACTCTCTCACTCTCTTTAGATCTTTCTAATTTTCCAACCTTTCAGCAGGTTGTCCAGTTGACCTGATGACCACATCCAGCTCAGTTGTTTTTGTTTTTTTCTGGTTTCAGATGTACACTGGCCTCCTGAAGCACACACCGCCTCCGGCCTCCCCTGCTGCTGCCTCCTCCGCCTCGGACCAAGGTGGAAACACGCATACCGCGGTTCCCACAATCCCCCGGGCACACCTGGTCGTCGGCTCCAAGGACCAGCTTCGGATCCTCACCCCTGTGGGAAGCTCTTCCGCAGCCAATCACTGCGCCGCCGTCGGCGTCGTGCACACCGCCAGGCACACGGCCGGCGCTCCCAGATCCCACGCCTCCATCAGCGAGGAGGATGAAGGAGGGGGCGGAGGAAGGGTGAAGAAGAAACGGAAGAAAAAGGACAAGACGCAGTGGGAGAAAGTAGGAGCAGAGGAGGAGGAGAAGGAGAGCAGCAAACCAAAGAAACAAAAGGCGGAGAGGGAGGCGACACCCGTGCTCACCCTGAGGAGGAGCAAGGAGCCAAAGGAGGGAAAAGACAGGAAAGAACGACGGTCAAAGGGAAAGGCTGGCAGGAAGGACGGCGGAACGGATCCGAGGAACGCGGTGAAAACCCCCGAGCCCTCGGCGGTTCCTGTCAAAGTTCCAGGGAAAAGAGGACGGAAACCTAAGGTCAAAGTCCTCCCTCCTGCTGCGACCAATCAAGGTTGGTAGGAACGTCTCATTGGGCTTTTTTTAACCACTTCAGATTAGAGCTTCCACTTGTTCAGCTGCTGACTTCAGTTGTTGCACCTCGTTTTGCATTTGATCTGCTGTTAGTACAAACTGCTCCAGCAAACATGGAAACATGCTTTAAACTTCACATTGTTACTATGATGGGTCTCCAACCTTAAACGACGCTTGGTTCGACTAACCGATGTTAAAATCCTTTTCATCTTTCCAACCCCTGCAGCCGGGCCTCAAGTTAACAACACCCAGGCGGACCAGAACCATGGGAAGGGCCACGGCCAGGCCAACAGCAAGACTGCAGGCCCCACGGCGCCAAAACAGAGGGGCCGCAAACCCAAGTAAGAACTGCTGGGTCTCTACAGCAGGCCGCACTGGTAGGACCCGGTGGAAGGTGGGGGGCGGGTGCAGACCGTCAGAGCATAGAGGGGAAGGTGGTGATGATGGACAGTTTGACAGAGCAGACTGTCTACATCTGCCATCACAGGTTGCTATCTCTGTCTGCTGGTGGGGCGGGAGTTCATGAGTTCACCTGCCAGTAAAGCAGACGTTTAGCTAGGAATATTTCATAGGGTGCACAGCTTGGGGTATCCCATCTTTAGCCTTTATGTGGCATTGGGGGGGGGGGATTTAGTCTTTCTGAATTTCTATTTCCTGTATTTCCTGGAATGCAGCTAACTTTTTGTCTTTGTTCCAACACTACTTTTGTTGTAATTATGGGAAGTATGTGTGAGGGATTAAAGTAATCCGGCCCCACGCCTGATTTCCGGCTTGTAGCGATTGTCCGTGGGTAAAAAGAATCCCTCGAAAATAAATTGACTTTAAATAAAAAAAAAAAAAAACAAGACAATCAAAATCCCTCTTGCGTTTGTCAGCAAATGGTAGCAAAGGAGCACTCTGAAACTAACAGTATTAGCCAATCAGAAGAAGAAGAGGGCAGGTCTTAGGTAGTGGCCATTTTACCCTAATATAGTAGCCCCTCCCTCCTGCCATCTTCCAGCAGTGCGGTTAGCCTAGCGCCATTCTCCCCGCTTTACAAGCTAAAT